GTGGCTTTACCAGGCGGCCCATAACTTGCTTTCCCTACCGTGGCTGCACCGCATTAGTCGAGCTGTCCGTCACCCTTTTGCAAAAAATTATCCTAATCCACCTGCAGCGCTTGCTGAGACAGTAAATCAAGGCCTCTTGTACTCTCATCGTGCGAGCGAGCGAGTAGTGTGAGTTATCTCCCTGCATTTCTTGTTCGTTGAGCTTAGCACCGTGGACCTGTGCTGCGATGACTGGCTTGAAGCGCCGATTTGCCTTAAGTCGTGAAGCTCTAAATTATAAATCGACTCGAACCTGGTGAGAAAAAGCCTGACGTCGTGGCAGCATGCAATACTCTGAGGAGCACTCTCAGCATCATCTTGAAGATTAAGGTGGAAATTAGGAACAAAGCAGACAATACACCCGGTGCCTGTGGCGCTTGAGGTGTATGCACGGCTGTGTAGGAAAACGTTGAGGCAGCCTTGTACAAGTGGTTCGTCGACATTCGGTCATGTAAACTCTCCGTGGCCGGTCCCATTATTTAACAAAATAGCAAATAACATTGCTTTTTTCCTTGACAAGGAAGGTTTTCAAGGTGGCTTTGGTTGGCTACAGTGGTTTAAAAAAAAAGGCACGAGATCGTTGGCGAAGCGGTTATTGTCAAAAGCCAAGCTGTGGACATTGACAGCATGAACAAATGAATGTAAAAAAACTGGCCCAACATTACAGCAAGATATGAACTCAGGGATATCATTGACGCCGACGAAACCACTCTGTTTTGGCAAATGCTCCCGAATAGGACACTTGCGTGTCGGGGTGACAACGACTTTGGGCGGATCAAAAAAGCTGCAACCCCTAGTTATAGGCAAAAGCAAGTTGCCGCAGTGGCTTTGGAATGATCTCTCCCTTGCAGTGACTTAATGGTCAAACACAAAGGCATAGATCACTGGGTAGCTTTTCAGCAAGTGGCTGTCATCATGGAACTATGATTTGATGAGTGAGAGCCACAAAGTGTGCTTGCTTGTGGGCAATTGTTCATCGCACTGCTGCAGTGCGAGTCTCAGCAGCATTGAGCTGTGTTTTTTGCCTCCAAGTACCACGTCAGTTCTGGAACTCCTAGATTAAAGCATAATACACTTGCTGAAAGCCAGCTTTTGGAAGTGCCTGGTAGAAAGACTGCTGCTAAACTTTTTTGTCAGCAGGGAGCTCGAGATTGACTGGCTCAATGCTGACTGGCCCTTTCTATGCTGAGTGGATGCTGGGCAGACATTACGAACGAAACCATTTGAAAGTGCTTCAGAAGTGCCAGCTTCTATGTGCCCGATAGAGAGACTACTGCTAAACCTTCGTGTTATCAGGGACTCTGTGAAAATTTTGATGAGTGCAACGAATTCATTGCCGGTGTTGCTGAAGTTTGGAGCGAGCTGTTAAGGTTTCCAGAATCTGTTGACGGATCAACAGTCAATGAGTTTGTGTTGACAGATGATGTCACGAGCATGGGTGAGCTTGAAAATGAAGACTACATTGCAGACATCATATCGAGCGCAAGGAAAAGCAGGCACAATGACCAAAACAACGACGATTCTTTGCTCACATCCTCAGGGGTGATTGGTGCTCTCACACTACTCCGGTGATTTTGCATGAATGTGAAAGTTTGCGGCCTTGCCTGCTCCGACTCATTAGACCATTTTAAGAAATTTGTGCTGTCTCAGGTAGCAAAGTTGGTTGATTGGTGCTCTCACACTACTCCGGCGCTTTTGCGTGAATGTGAAGGTTGCGGCCTTGCCTGCTCCGACTCTTTAGACCATTTTAAGAAATTCGTGCTGTCTCAGGTAGCAAAGTTGCTTGAACAGAAAAAAAATGGAAGATTATTTCAAGCACAACTAACTATCTTCCTTCAACTAGCTTCGTCAAAAAGTGCTTTTATGAATGGTATGTGAACTTATGACGCCCAGTTTTTTAGCAGGCTTATGTTGAACTGACAGGTGTTTTTTTAAGAGTTCAATATATCCGGGTTAAACTGTATTGCTATAAACTCTGAGGCAGAGGCTGGAAATCCTGGCTTTAGTTGCAATTGCTTCGAAACTACCCTTCTGCAGTTTAGTAAGATAATCATAAGATGAACAGGTGAAGTGCCTCAGACTGGCTGGCCGACGTTTCGATAGGAGGGCCTGTCGTTTCGGGAACAGGTGTACACTGCTATTGTCGGAAACCCTTTCTGGTAGCCAGATGCGCTGATCGTCTGCCGACTCCGAAGCTTTCGGCTCTTTCACATGTTCGTGTCTGAAGCGGCCACGTCGTTTGCAGCACACCGCTCCAACTTAGCGCTTTACTTTTTTTTTTCTTTTTTTCCCTACTCTCTGAGAACATTTTTGAATCACTATTACCTGACTTGAAGTGAAGTGAGGACGGCACTCTTCTCTTTATAATATTTTGCTTTTCAGACAGCGATCATCAACAGGGACACACGCCACCACCATGATATGACGCCACTACTAACCGCTTTAACCTAACACGCCAAGGATGACACGGCACCTTTGAAAAAAATAGGCCTTCTTATCGAAACGTCGGCCAGCCAGTCTGAGGCACTTCACCTGTTCATCTTACGATTATCCCACTATGTTCTTTTCATCTGTCGGCTCCCATCAAGATTTTGGACTTCTGCAGTTTGTGAGACCACAGCACAAAGCTACTTTCGGGTTGATAAGATAAACACATTGGTGCACTAGCGTGGAAGTCATTAGATGTGACACCGTAGACTCCTTTGGTGCACATGCTTGCGCGAGAAAGAAAAAAAAATGTCCATATACAGAGGGTTGTGCCACAGGCAAAGCTATATCAGATGCAATAAACCGTCTGCACAATAAAGCTCTTCCTAAAGCGGCTTTTAAATTAATATGCCTCATCCACATGTTTTTGGGAAAGAACCAACCCACCCCTTCATTAATACTTGTTTCAACATACTCGGTGTTTTATTATGACTTTTCAAGACGTTCGATGCCACTGGGGTGAACAACTGGCCCACAATCACGTGCCTCCATTGTACACTTTGGGGTGTCCGAGGGATGTGAGGTGAAAGATAGTAATGCGTTCAACGCAGCGCACGGCGACAAAATGCGACAAGAATCGAGGAACTGCACGTGATGGAGAAGATAGTAACTGCTTTCCCAGATCAAGGGGCTTCAAGTTAAATTTTCTTGTACTCCTGCTCTAATAAACTGCTGTAAATGAACTAAGAATGGGAGATGCTTCAAGCTTTGTCAAAATGTAAGTGTAGTTGTACCTTCTATTAGTTTTCTGTTGAACTTTCTGCTGATGTTTACCTTCAATTCCGCGTTCTCGGAATGTCCGCATTTGCATTAGAGCTGCATGTTGCTCTATTTCTGTTGTCATTAAAGAAAAAAAAAATCCCAGAGACGCTTAGAACACCTCAAGAATCTGAAGGGGAAAGCCTAGTTCGACATTCTGCTTCTCTTAATTTGCTGTTGAACTTTTAGTTGATCTGCTTTTGCAGCAGTGACCTCCAGCAATTCTATGTTCCCAGAACATCTGCCATTTTAGGACATGTTGTTATTGTTGGAACACTGCCGCAGCTTCATCTACAGCCACTTTTTTCTCGGAAACAGTTATGACAAGTGGTGTTTTTAGTGGCTCTAACTTCTGACATTTTATGCGTTCTTGGTATTCCCCATTAAGTATGACTAGGACAAGGATGACTTGGATGTACGGCTTGCAAGCTCACAAAATGATTTCTGTGCCTCATGATGCCCTAATTTTTTTAAGGTTACAGATATCTTAAATTGTTTTCATGAAGTGCACTCTCGCTAACGCTTCACAATCTTCAGCTGTACAACAAGTCTTGCTCGAGATGCCAAGGAATTGGATACAGACATTTATAACTTCTCATTTTATTCTCTGAGAAGTGAGAAACCCTGGACACAGTGTTGGCAAGCCTTAGAGTGCACTGTCTAATTTACACAAACCAATTTGTTTCTCCTCCCAGTTTTGCATCACACAGCGATGCAAATAGTGTTGAAGTAGGAGCAGTGTGCTTTGGTTTTACAGGTGTACTCCATTATTGTAGTTCTCTATGGAGCACTGACTGATGGTTGTTATATTGGAAGGCTCTAAATTGGAAATGTTCACGGCAGTTTTTGTAAACGACTGCAGTGTTGTGCCATTGACTGTTATGTTGCTTTAAGGAATGGTCGTGGGTCTTAAAAAAGGTATTTTTATTTATTATCCTACTGTCATGAAAATTGCCATGCATGCGTACAACTGAATGTAGATTTCAAATCTTCAAACAGATTTAAAATATCTCATTTCAAAAAAAAGTAATGACAAATTTTCACACTATATTTAAGTCATTTCCTACGGGTCGTTATGGTAACCCTCAATAAAAAAAGTTAGTTTTCAAAACTACATGTTTCCTCTGAATGGTTCATGCCACAGGCTAAAGCAAACTAGATGCCAAAACGGCAATTTCTTTGATCGGAAATAGTTTTTTAACTTGAAAGGTAAAAATGAACTTCCAGTAATTTGCTGGTATTTATCATATAATTACAAATCTATCAAGGTCGAGCAAAAAAAAAAAGCTTTAGCCCATAGTTTTAGTGCTGCGGAAAATAGTGGTACCAAGTTTGTTTTGGTATCTTCACAGAAACTTGCTCAAAACTTTAGTAAAACAGATTCACTTCACAAAAATAACAATGGCAAAAAATTTTGTTTTCAGTTTTTAAAACATTTGTAATTTTATATATTAAGCTTTTAACAATGAAAAATGGTATTTTGCCATAATATAAAATTTTTCCAAAACATGCCTTCAATTATATATACCTCAAATCGAAAATTTTTAAAGTCAGCATTTTTCACAATTTTGTGCTATTTTAAGACCCTCATCCCCCCTTAATGTGACCCTTTTCCCATTTGTGTTCGAGATTTAGTACAACATAACCAGTGCTCCAGTTCAGATGAATTCAAGCCATCTGAAATGTTTCGTGATGTGCTCGATCTTTCTGGCTAGGTGATGACCTAGTGTTCTTGGACCCGCACACCACGCAGCTTGCAGTTGACCTGGATGTAGAGTGCCCTGAGGACGAGAGCTACCACTGTGCCCATGCCAGCAGGATGGACATTGGCCAGCTCGACCCATCCATTGCTCTAGTGAGAATCGAGACGACAAGACGACGCTAGCATGTCTTCATTCTCTGGAACTAGCCATGTAGAATACTTCATTAGTGTGATATATCAAGTGCAATCAATGCATATTTAAAGGGCTTTTGTGGTACAGATTGTAGGCTTACTTCTTGTTAAATATATATTGGGTATTCCAAGCCAGCAAAGTTTGACATTAGGTGATGTTTAGATTACATGATATCAAGGCTGCATTGTACACACACAAAAAAATGTCAGTGCAACATGATTTTGAAGGGCTTCCATAACTTGTGTTTATTCAAAGTAGTATGCGAGTGACATGGGCCTGATCTGGTGGCAATGAGGCCAATTAGGATTGATGTTCTTGACTGTAGTTGGCTTCCTTGCATGCGATGGAGAAGTGAGCACACTGCAGTCAAGGAATCGTTTAGTTTTTATCTCGGGGGGGGATAGTGATGAAAAGTGCCTTGTGTTGTTTCACTATAATATTTGTAAAATGACACTTTTGTATAGCCCAAGTTAAGAAGTATAGAAATAACTGATTGCAACACAGATGTGATGGTTGAGTGTCCGGTATATCAGCACACACATAGGCATGTGGTATAAGGTACTTTTTAGCTGCAAATGACAGTTATACATGCATTCACTTATACTGTAAATGTTGATTTGTGGCTGTTTTAGCATACTAACTGTTCTAACATATTTGCACAAGATCTTTTTCTTAGTCTTTATGGAGCCTAATGTATTTGCTAACTGCTTTTCAGTCAGAGTGCCTTTTTTATATGCCTATAGGTCATTACTTAGTACAATCATGTTTTATCACATAAAGGCTAATAAACCCTTAAACTTGCTGTGGCCAACACCACATTCTATGAAAAAAGATCTTCACTTTTTCTGTAAGCATAAAGGCCCATCAATTAGTGATTCTGTCTTGGGAGTGAGTTCAGAAATGTCTTAGCAGAAAGCATTGGAAATACAGACCAAATGAGTTGCTTCTAGCTTAGGCCACCATGGCAGCTATTATGCGTTTGTTCCATGTAGTTGTTTTAAAATGCTCCTTGATATCACTACTGCTTGCTGTTGCACAGTCATAGCAGAGAGCTGACGTTTTCTCACTGTGACAAAAAGAGAGAAAACTGCTGGTAACTCATACTTTGTGCCAGAGAATCACATTTATTTCTTGTCGGCAATAGCGCAGGTCAAGGGACGAAAATTTAAGTGGGGAGTTCAGCATGTATTACTGACATTTAGTGCTTTTTATTCCATGTTCCCGAAAGCTGGTACCAGTAACAGCAGTAATTATTTATAACTGATTACAGAAATTTTGTGATATTTCTCAGTTATGCTTTTTGATTTCAGTCTGGGTAGTGTCCACCTCTCTTGAGTAATTACTGAAGCTCATTAAGTAAAGTATTGCAACACGCCATGACAATATTTAAAAATTGTTTTTACATTATAAATGTCACACTTTTGCTCCAAGGGCAAAGCACTGATTGGATTGCAGCAAATTGTAATATTATAAGCAGCTAACCCCTTTAGCATCTGATCTGGCCCATCTGCACAAAACACTGGCATAAGGGAACGAGGTTGCTGCAGCAAGCAAAGTGTTATATGTTATACACAAAGAGCATGCTTTGTGTAATATAACTTCCTCTGACATTGTAGTCTGTACTGGACCATGGCTACTGGTTGAGTAAGTGCTGATCACAACGCAAAGCATGGAAAATGTAGAAATATTTATGAATGCCTGCTGTTTGGACTTATCTGGCATTTCTCAAACACCACTCATTACATTTGTCTATGCTTCAGTGATGCCTTGAAGCCCATTCCTTGCTTCCTTTCTTTATCAGTGCTTCTACATGGCCACAGAAGCAGAGTTTGACAGCTGGTGCAACTTGGCACATAAGGTGAGCTCCTTTTTCATTTCCTTTATATTTTTAAAAGGCTGGCCAAAGTTTTTCACTTTTTCAGTTTATTGGAACTGAAATAAATGTTGGGATATTCATGTTACAGGCACTCACACTTCAGCACACATTTGTGACACTTTGAGATCTGAGTAGACTTGCAAATGACAGATATTGTATAGGTGGATATGGTGAATGTTACTTTTAATTTTACATTGTTAACGCTTGTTGTGTTAAATGGCTTACGTGCTCACGTGAAAGTCTGTGCACATTGTGCTTAGCAAGATGATGGAGTTAAGATTCAGAGAGGGCCTGTATCTTAGTTTTCCTAGAATATATTCAGTTCATCAGATCTTCGTTCTAAATTAATTGACTCTGGCTTTCAGCACTTGATTAGCCAGATGAAGCAGCCATTGTTCGAGATCACAGAGCACAGACCTCTCGGGTGGCCAGACCTTGCAGAGGATCAGCAGCGGCTTGATGAAGAGCCTCAAAGCACTGGTTCGTGGTTCTTCTTTTGGTTTACTTCTCAACTTGAATATAAATTAAAATCTCGTTAATTTGAAGTCACTGGGGTTGCAAAAAATCTTCAAATCAACAGAACATGGAAAAAGTTGGATGCAAGCAACTTGCAAATATTGAAAGAAATCAGGACTGATCGTTTGCTGCGTGCTGGCTAATTTGCAGCTCCAATGGTTATGTTTTTCCACAATACCTGGTGTTAGCCACAAACACAAAAGAACAGCAGGCCTCGCTGCCGCTGCCGAAAAAAGTAAAAAAGAAAAATAACACCATCTTTCTCTAAAGGGAACCACATGTAGATGTAAAAGAGCGGGTGCTAATGCTTACACTGGCGGTGGCACTGACGTTGGTGCTCATCGCAGCTTTGCGCAGGAGAGAAACCTATGGAAACACAAAGAATGCATTGATAGACTGATGTTTCCTACTGAGACATGCCAATTGCTGCTAACGGGCAATGAGAGACATAAGACTCCAATTCGAGACAGGGACCTGCAGTCCGCTTTTCGTTAACATGTACGCTACGAATTTTCAATGTTTAACAATGCACAGGAGAAATATCTCACCGGTACTACCTTTGAGGTCGAGATCCAGTGCCTATACTATATACGGGGTAGCCAGCGAACGGTTGTGCAGTGCAAGCAGTCGTTCTTTTTTTAATCAAGAAACTCACTAGCAGACGCTTTCTGCGTCGGCGTTGTGAGGTGATAGAGTGGCGAAGCATAGGAGAAAAGGGGGACGGAGCGCATATGCGCAACCGCTTTATATTCACACTTGAAGGAGAGGAGACTAGAAGAAAGCAGCGTATACACCACCAGAGCAGAAGCAGGAACGCAGGAGAAGCACAAGCAGGTGGTAGGAAAGAAGTGAGGAGAAGAGAGTTGCTCACGCGTAGTGTGAGTGGGACATGTTGCCTGCTCCTTGCTGCACCAGCACATCATAATGCGACCATTCTTTCTGGTAAAATAAAGAAGTTATTAATGGCCAGTGTGACAGAATTCACCATATGTTTTGGCTGGTAAATGTGATCTCTGAAGCTTTCCAGCTTAGTCTTCGAAGTAGGCGTTGCAGGCAATAACTCCGCCAGCAGTGCAAGTGGGCAAATTTTTGGAGCAACCGGCAATTGGAAATTCGCATACATTGCGAATTCTGCTAAAGCTGTTCTTTATTAAATTTCTTTACAGTCCCAAAAAGAATGGGTAAATCATGAGGCGCTGACGTAGCTAGAATCATGCCATATGCTGCCCGCGCGTCACGACTATGTCGCAGTGAAACTCATTTTGTTAGCCACCGCCGCACGTTTTGGTTGCCCACGAGACTGCTTTTTTTTTTTACACGCAAGTTAAATCCCAACAAATGCAAGCTAATGACAGTCTTCCGCCAGCTCAATAGCTCCTCAACATACAAACTGGGTGATGTTTCTCTTGGCCAAGTATCGTCATACCGGTACTTAAGCGTTACTATTTCTTTCAATCTAATATAGAATGCTCATATTAACGTCATCACGAACAATGCCAACCATACATTGGGATACATGCGTCGTAATTTTAGCAAATCTTCAACTTTCCCTCGAGATGCTTCTTTATAAAACCCTTGAACACACGAAATTTGAGTACGGTGCTGCAATATGAAACCCTCACCATGAAAACCTGTACAGGTGTCTCGAGCAGATTCAAAATAACGCTGCACGTTTTATTTTATCGGATTATCACTTTAAATCAAGCGTAACAGCAATGAAACATCATTTGTCACTGCCACCTTTATCACTACTTCGGAAGTACTTCTGCCTTTGCCTTTTCCATAAGAGCTACCATCATCCAGTACTGCGTAGTGAGCTCATTATGCCTCCCACATACCATTCCTCTCACATTGACCACAAACGTAAGGTTAGAGGTACTTTCTGCTACACGAACACATTTTCTTGCTCCTTCATACCAGTCACATCAAACGATTGGAATCATCTACTAGGTGACATTGTTTCCATCTCTGATCACTTCCTCCTTCGTAATTCTTTGTCAGCTCACCTACTTCCCGATAGTTCTCCCTAGTCAACCCATCTATTTCCCCTCCTCATCACTTTCTGTCTACACTGTCAAAATGCCACCGTTTTCAAGCAGGTTCATGATTTTTTTTTGTGTCACTTTAAATTTTACATTTTTTCTCTAGTATAGTATAACTTTACCACATTTGCTATTTTGTCTTTGTGATTCCCTTATTTCTATTTCCTTTTTTTACGTTTCACTTTTGTTCCGTTTGTCTGAATAGAGAGGTTATATTGTCACGGGGTTGTGACGTCGACGAAGAAGCAGAGAGTACATTGAAGATTAAACTGTTTATTTGGGCGAACCTGTGCCCGGTAAACGGAAAGTCAGATCACAGTAGCAGGCTTGCACTGATAGCGGCGAACGGAGCGTCGGCCATCAATAAACTACTGACAAGCGGCGAAACGCGTCGGCATTTATACTCTTGCCATCGAATGCTCTAGTGTTATCGCTGGCGGTGACGTAGGCTCCAGAATAATCTGTACAGTTCGCGGAGTGGGTGTGATCTTATCGAAATGATTTACTACAGTCCGGAAGCTTCTCGAAAACTGCAGGCGCGGTTTGCGCTGAGAATTGTGTAACGTATTGGGGCTATAACATAACTTGAGAAATGGAACGTGGCATTGCCCCCCTCTGAAAAGGGCATCGTCCCGATGCTTCAACTAAAGATGAAGGTACAACAATAATGCAAGAAAGTACAATGAATAAATTACGATACAACAATAATACAAAAAAACAGTTTCGGTTTGTTAACGCGCATGAAACGGCTTGAGGGGAAGAGGCAGCTCCCAGTCAAGTACGTAGCCAATCGCAAAGCCTGGATGACCAGGGAGATTTTTTCAAAATGGCTTTGCAGATGGGACGAGAAGCTGGCAAAGGCGAACCGCAAGGTGTGCCTTGTTTTAGATAACTGCACCGCCCATCATACCGCTGCCGTGCTTCAAAACATCGAGCTGCTGTTCCTTCCTGCCAACTGCACAGCAAAAATACAACCGCTTGACCAAGATTATGTCGCTGAAGACAGGTTACCGCAAGCGTGTGATAGACAAGCTCCTGCTCAACATGAGGATGAAGCGAGACACCGATGTTGACTTGAACGCTGCGCTCGAAATGCTTCAGGCGGCGTGGATGAGTGTGACGGCGACCACGATCGCAAACTGCTTTCGACACGCCTCATTTGCCGCCGCACCAGACGCCAGCGATGAGCCATCAGACGAGCCCACTGTGCCGGACGGTTTTGCCACATCAGACGAAGTCGCTGCATCATGGACGGCACTTCGTGACGCCGGTGTCGTGCCTGACAGCGAGTCGTTTTGCGACTATGTGAGTGCGGACTCGGAAGTGGTGGCAACGGAGCAGCTCCTGGATGACGATATTGTGCGCGCTGTCAGTGATCGTAACGAAACCAGTGACGATGACTCTGTCGACGAACAGGAGACAAACGTGCCGACGGCGTCGAAGGCATTAGACGCGGTGGACGTACTGCGCCGCTACTTCGGCGCTCACGAGGGCGGCGAAGATGGCTTGAACATTGCGGCCGCAGCTGAGCGAGCCATCGTTCGCATCAGGAAGATGCATCAACGTCCAATTACGGACTTTTTTGCAGCTAAGTCTGCCTGAAATGCAAGCTGTGTATTTTGAAGTGCATTAAAACAGGTGCATGACTTTTTCCTTTTTATTTGGGAATGCAGTTATTTTGTTGCATACCACCGTGCGGCGGGATGCTATTTCGCCCGCTATTTTTTTGGGTAAGTACAGTGCATAATATTTGCGGTAAATGCCCGCTACGGCTATAACGAAGTATTGGTTATAACGAGCAAATAGCGGCAGCCCTCCAATTTCGTTACAACGAGGTTTGACTGTAGATGTAAAAGAGCGGGTGCTAATGCTTACACTGGCGGCGGCATTGACGGTGGTGCTCATCGCAGCATTGCACAGGAGAGAAACCTACGGAAACACAAAGCATGCATTGACAGACTGATGTTTCCTACTGGGACATGCCAATTGCTGCTAATGGGCAATGAGAGACACAAGACTCCAATTGGAGACAGAGACCTGCAGTCCGCTTTTCGTTAACATGCACGCTACGAATTTTCAATGTTTAACAATGCACAGGAGAAATATCTCACCGGCACTACCTTGGAGGTCAAGATCCAGTGCCTATATACCGTATTTACTCGCATAATCGGCGCACTCGCATAATAGGCGCACCCCTAGTTTGGTCGCGGAAAATTAGATTTTTTTAATTCCGCGCATAATAGGCGCACCCCGAACTTGGCCGTGATCAGAAACGTTCTACCCCCAGCGGTACAGTTGGAACGCGGTCCCCGTACCCTGAAGAAAAAAAGAAGGCAAATCGGCGAGCAAATAAAAAAATTCGAAGTGCAACGACCTAACCAACGTGTTTGTTCGAAATAAAACTTGAAAAAAAAAAAAAAAAGCGTCCATGAGCGAAAAAAAAAAACCGGCTGTTCCATCAATTACTGATACCCCCCAAATCGCCGCGCTTTTTTGGAGGTCACGTGTACAACGCTGGGGGCTCGATCGCCATCACCACCATCAGAGAAAAGAAAAAACGCCATTTGCAAGCGTGTGCGTATGTTGTGGTCGTGTATTGAACTTGTTCCACCATGGGGAAGTACGCGAGCCACACGGCTGGGTTTAAACTGAAGGCAGTGCAGTACGCGCTGGAGCACGGCAACCGGGCTGCAAGCAGGCATTTCGGCGTTGGAGAAACTTGGCACATAAGGTGAGCTCCTTTTTCATTTCCTTTATATTTTTAAAAGGCTGGCCAAAGTTTTTCACTTTTTCAGTTTATTGGAACTGAAATAAATGTTGGGATATTCATGTTACAGGCACTCACACTTCAGCACACATTTGTGACACTTTGAGATCTGAGTAGACTTGCAAATGACAGATATTGTATAGGTGGATATGGTG